CCACGACCTAAGTTGCTCAGACGCTCCTAGTCGGGAAAGCTTGCATAACAAAACCTTCTGGTCGATTTTGTCGAATTCGGCTTTCAGATCAGTATATATGACGTCGACTTGTGCCTTATCCTCCATCGCGGTGATGCATGCACTGGTGAAATCCAAAAGGTTAGTACCTACCGATCTACCGGGAATAAATCCATGATGGTCAGTTGAAATGTAGTTCTTCGGACGATTCAGGACAAATTCGCTCAAGATGATCTCAAACAGTTTGGACGCTGCCGTAAGACTGGTGATACCTCGATAGTTCTTAATATCCCGTTTATTGTCAGCTTTGAAAACAGGAAACATGTACGACTGCTTCCACAATGTTGGGAATTTTCCTTGCTCAAAGGATGCACTAAATATGGCTGCTAAAGTTTCTGCGTTGCTAAGCTAAGCAACGGCAGAACACCACTGCCGGAATTCCATCTGGACCAGGAGAGAGTGAGGTTTTCAGTCTCATTGCTGCTGAAAGTACCATATCCCGAGTTACTTCGAATGTGCTCAGTTCCACTAAGTCACTAGGCGTATCAGAGGCAGCAGATTCAGCTTCAACGTCACTTGTCATATTTTTATCGAAGACAGATGCCAAGTGTTTAGCAAACATCTCACACGCTTCGCTAAGAGAAGTGGACTCTTTCCCATCGAGTAGCATGTTGGACGGTATACTCGAATCGTTCCTTTTGCTGTTGACAAAGCTCCAAAGATTTCGGGGTTAAGCCGCAAATTCCACGGGACTCTGAGGACGTGTGATTTGTACAAGGCACTGTTAAGTTTAATGTAAGCGATACTGGCACGCTTGAAGTCACGCTTCGTGTCAGCTGTTCTGTGGCGACGTAGTTTTCTCTGGACTGCGTTACGCTCACGCTTCAGCACTCTAAGCTGAGGAGTACTCCAAGCTGGGGAAATTGGTCGTCTTTTGAGAGGAACATTTGATCCCAACCAATGTTGAATAATGCTACAGATACGCACAGGCATCTCATCAACATCAATGCATTCAAACACATCGGCCCAGTCTTGATCAAAAAGATACTGAAGTAATGAGACATAATCATTTTTCTAGAAGCCTAGAAGCCCTCTCTGCACGTTACAAGCTGGGTGAGATGGCCAGTCAAGTGGAGCAGGTAGTGACATAATTAAGGAAGGATGGTGAGCATCAATAGGTAAAAGCGGCACAGCGGATTTGTCGATATCGAAATCATTTTCACCGTTGCAAAATCAAATACAGCGTGCGACCAAGTTCTTTTCGGACTGTATTGTGTTGACTGAGATTAACGAAATCCATTCCATCATCGAGAGCAATACTTGCAGCGGTCAGTGCAGATGTTTCGGTGAGGTAGACACTGTTGTCATCGATTCCCGACTGAAGACGAGGCTGATTATAATCGCCACAAACAAGAATCTTATCATCACAAGATGCCTTGTGGCACAACTCTTTGACTGAGGCAATATGCGCTTCCATAGCTTCGACGCGTGACTTCGGTCGGTTGGGATGTACACAGCGCATAAATATACACTCAAAATAATGTTCACGTCAATGCTACGTGAAAACATACGTAGATTTTTTCCATCATACTTTTCACGTAAGTGCTACGTGATTCTGATGTAGGGGCACTCATTTCATGAAGCTTAAACGTCACAGGATTATCACATAGAAGTTACGTGATACTGTCGATAGATTTCATAGTGATTTCTTATACCATTATTTTTACTGCTGTTTGCTGTTTTTCCTTGATTTTAATGCTTATTACAATCAAACTAATGGAATTTCTCTATTCGCATTGAAGCTTTAAATTTATTATAAACAAAAGAAAAAAACATTGCTATAAAACCCAAGCAGGAACTCGACGTTTGGTCATCGTGCCTCCATGGGACAATTGTACCTCCCGGCTTCGTTGTAACTTCACCTTCGTTTGAGCTGCTTATTATGTCTATGTCAGCCATTATCTTCCCGTTCCGGTGATGATCCGTGAACTGCTCGACTGCTGCAGTTGAGCAAAGTTGAGCTGTTTTTTTAATGCACTAGTCGCTATCGCTTATCACGCTGATAGAATCCGAGGAGGATCCATGGTGGGGCTGGAAAGGAAGAACTGCTTTTACTACTTACCACCTTCAAATAAACTAATCAAAACACGAATATTTTACAGCATAATTCAATATGGTTGAAAACGTAAGTATAAGACTTACGTTTTCAACCAGTTAAAAAAACAACAACTTTAACAAATCTGCATCTTTACACTCATGCCACCATGTTGAACACCCAACTGAGTGCCTTACTTTTTTCATACGTGGAATTCACTTAATACTTACGTGAAACGCACATAGATTCGAGATATTTGAAAATCACGTAATTTTCATTGGATAAATAAATGTGTGTAATTCGAATTTCTTTTAAAATTCAGGTGGCATTGCATAGATTTTACAAGAGTCACGTAAAGTAGACTGAAGTGGAAAGATTGAAACCTTACGTGATTTTTCACGTAGTATTAAAGTGTGGATTATTTTGAGTGTAGAACCAATGGACGAATCAGGAGCGGGACTGATCATGACACGATCATAATTGCCTTGAATTCAGTGCCAACATTTCAAAGGGGCGTAATTGCATTTGTAAACAATGGTTTTAGTCGTCGATTTCTCGCGAATGAAAGCTCACCCATAAAAATGAATGACACCAGCAGGTAGATGAATGTTTCCTGTACCAGCAAGCATTGGTAATTTGGAGGGATGGGCTTTTATTTGCGAGAAATCGACGGCTAAAGCCATTGTTTACAAAAGCAATTACGCCCCTTTGAAATGTTGGCACTGAATTGTAGGTTGGAAGACCTACAGTCGAGGACGACTGCAGGACGGTGACTGGATTAACTCGACTGTGGCGGGAGAAGAAGGGGATTCCGTATACTATAGTGCCAACTTCAATACGTCCCAGAGTTCTTAAGCGACAGGTAGGTGACAGATGATTTCAGTGCCAACATTTCAAAGGGGCGAAATTGCTTTTGTAAACAATGACTTTAGCCGTCAATTTCTTGCGAATGAAATCTTACCTATCCAAAATGACAATGCTAACTGGTAGAGGAAACATTCCTCTATCTGCTGGTGTCATTATTTTTCATAAGTGAGCTTTTATTCACGAGAAATCGACGGCTAAAGCCATTGTTTACAAATGCAATTACGCCCCTTTGAAATGTTGGCACTGATTTGATGACTGATAATGCTGGAACTGGTCGAGAAACAGATCATACTTGCCTGACGTAACAGACTGGAAGACCGCCTTTTCAACTCACACACAGGGCCGGGACGACTGTAGAACGCTGGCACGAATGGCTCGACTATGGTGAGATGTTGGGGTGTCCGTTTTGGGTGTTTGCGCATTTGGATCCAGTTTTGCCAACTTCGTTGGGTGTTGAGATTTTTGCGCACCAAATCCTTTGTCGATGCCAACTTATGTCCTTTCCCTTGGGTACTCGTTTTACGACAACAGGGTTGTCATCTGTTTCCAAATTGGCTTTCACCATGGCAGAAACCGTTTCATTGGTAACTAATTATCATAACACTCTAGGTCGAGCCGTAGGTATTTTGCTCGGTATTTTGCCTTCTTTTGAACATGAACTGTTATTTTACACTTTTATGTCAAATTCCCATTATGTCAAACGGCAGTTATAGAGTGAACCAAGAAATCGGGAAACCGGGAAAAAACCGTGAATTTGATGACAAATCGGGAAAAAATAAACTTTGTTCTCTCTTTAGAAAAAAAAATAAGATTCGAAGAAAGTTCCATGTAAATTTTGAGGGGATTTTTAGAATGAACTCAAGGGTTTTACCAAAACGCTTAAATGAAATATCCAAGAGTGTTTTGGGATGAACTCTAGAAGAAAGTTCCAAAAGAATTCTGCGAAAAATACAGAGGGGATGGAATTTGAAGGGGAACAGTTCCAAAAGAAATTCAGAAATGAGTTAGAAGAGATCTTCTAGGATAATTCCAAAGGCATCTAGAGAACAATTTCTAGAGAATCTAAATGAGAATTCATAGTGAAGAAGATCTTCAATATAATGTTGAGTTTAGTTTAGTTTAGTTTTCTTTATTAACGAGACTTTCAGCCGTGGGCTGGTTCGTCTCGTATAATGTTGAGTTGAATTTCACCATTCTGAGGTTCTGAATTGCATGGGAATTCTAAGGAAATGAGAATTTAGGTGAATTTTAAATTGAATTATTAAAGGAAGCATCATTAAATTCTTTGAAAAATCATTATGAATTTTCAAAGGACTCCCAGAGAAAATCTCAAATCGATTTTAGACGAACTCTAGAAAGAACTCAGATTATAAAAAAATCTTAAACAAATTCCGAAGAAATCCTTTAAGCTAGTTTAAACATTTACAAATGTTAACGACATCGAACGCAGAAACAAATTTAAGATCCAATAAGTATTCTGCTGTCTTAGTAATTACTCATTTAACCTAGTGATCCTTTTGACTCAATCGAATTCGGTTTTATGCTGAACTTAAATGTGTAAATAGCACAACCGGGAAAAATTTCGAAATTCCAGGACAAATTGCTAATCGGAACTTGCTGATCACCATGATAATGTAAAATTAGATTTTTCGTGTTGTTCATGAATACATTCTTCATGCCTCGTTCCGTTTTTAACTCCTCTGCACATCCCATGCTTTCACAAACTCTGAACGTTGAACGGTTGAACTACGAATCCTGATGAAAGTTGGTGTGTATCATTATAAACCAGGTTATAGGCAAGATGGACCAACCATGGTCTTAGCCGTCATCAGACAACAGCAAACAAAAAAAAAAAAAAACCAGGTTATAAACTGTTATAAAGCGAACATAAAGAGAAAGGATTAGTAATGTCCTTGTAATTCCACTACCTTAATTGCTTGCCCTTACCAGATACGCGTATTTTGTAACTGCTCCATCACCCAGCAATCCTTTCTAACTGCACCATCCCAACCTTTTCCAGAGAATCGAAAGTACTGCACCGGGTACTGCAATGCTGCCTTCTAAACGGAGGAGTCTTCATGCTGAGCATCCTGATGTTCGAGTACGGCATCCTGCCGGGACTGAACTTCTGCCTGTCGTATCTTTTCTCCAACTCGGGAACCGTCGCCACCATATGGGGCTGGATGAAACCATCGCTGTCGTTGCTGTTCCACAGCTTCTGGGTTGCCCCGCTGTTCCTACTCAGCAAGATCGTCAACAGCCTTTGGTTTCAGGACATTGCCGATTCGGCCTACAAGTTCCGCAAGGGACGCCCGCAGCTAATTCCCAGCATTAGCAAGCTGATTGCCGATACGTTGATCAGTTTGTTGATACAGGTGCTATTCCTGCTGCAGAGCACCATCGTCAAGTATCTGCCCATCCCGGTTCCGTTCGCGTGCAGCATCCTGTACATAGTGCACATGAGTCTGCTCTGCTCGCTGTACGCCTTCGAGTACAAGTGGTTCAACATGGGCTGGGAGCTGCACAAACGACTGACCTACATCGAAACCAACTGGCCGTTCTTCATCGGCTTTGGACTCCCGCTGGCAATCCTCTCCGAACTGCCCAACTCACTCGTCATCAGCGGTTGCGTGTTCTCGGTATTGTTCCCTCTGTTCATCCTTAGTGCAAACGAAGCCACGCCGAAGGTGTCCGTTTGGTAAGTGCTTCCGCTAAATTGATGCTGAACGAATGTTCTAATTTCCTAACATTTCAGCGAAACCCCTTTGAAATTGTTTTCCCTGGTAGTGGCCATTACCAATGCCATGTTCAGTAGTCGAACCAAACTGGGCAAGGCTGCTCTCTCGACGCCGATCAGCGGTAGCCCGGGAACCCCCGGCGGTTCCATGATGCGTGGAATGACTCCACCACTGGCCGGTAGTGGAACACCGTCGCTAAACTTCCAACTGAACCAACAGCAAAAAATGCGACAACAGCAGCAGCAACATCAACAACATCATCACCATCGGCAGCATCGACATTCGTCACCTTCACCATCGTCCACCATGGGTTCGGTTGTGACTGGATCAACCGTTGGTTCGGTCATGGGCCAACAGCAGCACCAGCAGGGATTGCTGAATCGTAGCTTTAGACGGTAGACGGTCCGCCCCGTTACCGCCACACTCACAGCTGGAACCTCGAATGAGAATCGGAAAACCTTGGTAACATTAGTAATGATAGAAACCGACACGCCTTTCCCACATGTGATGCATGTGCGGGTGTGATTGCGCGCGCTCGGATCCAATCGGAGTAATAACGATTGAACGAGTGATCATACACAACATATTAGCAGATAGAGGCACATTTAAGCGGACATTAATGATATACACATACATATTGTAGTAGCTATTGGTATGAAGAAATTAATCATCAAATCAATAATGGTGCTCAGTTTCGGTTTCAGTTGTACAGAGCGTTTATTTTTCTTATATTCTGCAATGGAATGTTTTTGAGTTTTTAAGGTTTTTTCTTCGTTTATCGCCTTGGGTGGTGAGTAGATGTGTTAGCAGAGTAACAAACAACGTGCGAGACAAACTTAATGATGCGATTTTTATGAATTATGTGTTTTTGTAAAAAAAAAAATGTAAACGATCAGACTGCTTTTTCCTCTCTAAAAAGGGAATACAAGAAGATTTCTTTGAGATTATTTTGGTTGCACTTTTTTAGTAAATGGAACGAAAGAATTTTATGATCAATCGAAATATTTGAATGCTGTGATCACCGTCAGTTATGATTATCCCAGAGCATAGAAACCACACCATATTTCATACATAAAAGTCTTCTCTTTATTCACTCGCATACGCTCGTCAATACATTCAACTCAGATTATATCAGTTAGCTAATCGCCATGGCATCCCTAAGATAAACTGAACGAATTCCCATCGGAATGGTCCAGTAGCTCGTCCGGCGGTTCCTCCTTGATCTCCGGCATCGTATGGTACGCCGAAATCGTTATGTGCCTCTGCAGTGCGTCATAGTTCAACGTCGGATCGTTCTCCTTGTCCATGTTGGCGAAATTTTCCTTCTTGATGCCCTTGTAGTTGACGCATCGTTTCGAGCTGGGAAAACTTTGCAGCAAACTGCATATGGTCGGGTGCGACAACCCGAAGAACCAATCCCCGGACGGCCTCCCGTCGATGTTGCGGCAATCGAGCGACGCATTGATACACTGAAGCAGGGTAGAGTGGCACGCATCGGTCGAGTTCCCCGTTATGGTGAGCTCGGTATCGTTTTCCGGAATAATTTCAAACCGTGGAGAATCGCCATTGTTCAGGACACGGCACGTGTAAATGCATTTCTTCAAGGGATCCTTCAGGTGACCGTAAGGGCGGGTAACCGTATAGCCTGATGGATAGATCGTATATTCGGTATTGTACCTGGGTCGATCGGCCACAATTTCACCTAGATTATAAATAGTGAATCCGGCCACTGTCATTGGGTAAGTCGGATGGCCTAATTGGCTCAGTGACATATTCTTCTTGGCGGAACTCTTATCGGTAGCGGTTGCACTAGCATTGGCCCTACCTTTTCTAGTTTGACCCTTTCCTTTGGTCGCTGAATCGGCAGCACTACCATCGGTTACAGTTCGCTTTTTGTACTGTCGTTTTGGAGGTAAGCTATTGGCTATCAATTCATTCAATTTACTACATGGCCTTCCCATTTGCGTCTCCATATCATTCTCGTGTTCCAGCAGCTTTTTCAGCAGATACCGTCGCTCCTCTTTCACCAGCAAAATATTCTCCTGGATCTGGGCAACGTGATCACAGAGCGCAGCATTTTCCTGAAATTTGAAATATAATTACACTTTCCAATACGCCCTTCTGCACGGACAGTGAAGCTACCCAAGCGCACACGCTACTTACAAAGACGAGATTCTTCATGATCCGCTTGAGCCTACGGTACTTCCGTCGATATTTTTCGTTAACCGCCGGGTTTGGGGCCGCGGGAAATGAGAAGGAGTTCTGCATCGCGCCTATCAGCAGGTGAAGTAGCTGGTTTTCCTCCAGCCGTTGCGATCGATGGAAATTTTTCTGCACTCGCAGCAAGCCAGCAGCATATACGTAATCGCGTCGATTTGCTGCCACAAGCGTGAGGTTTTTCATTCAAGAAAAAATATGCGATAAATATGCCCTCAAAAGCAAACGCGGAGTTGTATTAAAACGCTCACCACTCGCCTTTTTTGCTTATATTGCTCATCCAGATGTGGGCAACACACGCACACCGTCACAAGGATGGACTGCTTTTGGGCCAGACGAGCGGCGGGGGAATGATGCGGGGGTGTTTGTTGTGACTTTTCTTGTTGTCGAGTTGACGGGAAGAAGTGTCACGCCGGCTGATGGATTCGGCCATGTTGTCCTACTGGAAAATAGCACAACGATATAAATTGTGCGCTACCTTACACGAAAAAAAAACCTAACTACACTCAAAGATAAATTAAATCATAAAAGCTTAAAAAGTATGCAGTTTCCCGCTTCACCTTATTGAGTCCGAGCCATGATTACTTCGGCAATAGTCATGCATGATTAAAATCGAAATAATCTTTCCAGTATTAAATTTAATTCTTTTTGAATACTGATGTATAATCAAAAAAGATTAAAATTCAATCAAAAATTATTAAAATAGAATCTAAAATGATTAAAATTTATTCAAAAAAAGATAATCTACAATCTAATCAACCATGATTAAACTGGGATTAATATCAGATGCTTATGTTTTAATCATTCGATATGATTAAACTGAGTTTAATGTCAAATTGATTAAATTTCAAGCAAAATGGGAATAGTTCAATTTATCAGTGTACCTTTTCCCACATCGAAGCTGGCCCACGTGGAGAATAGATTAACTATGCAAGTGATGATGGTTTTGAAATTTTGAACGGTAAGGTATTGGCAAATTAAAGTTGATACTCGTGGAGAGTAGAAGAACTATGAAAGTGATGATGGATTCACTGTGAGGTATACGAGTTCAATCTTAAAATGCTTATATTTTGCAAATGGAGCATTTTATTCAAATCTGGTTAATGCTACACACTTAAATTTTTTCGCCGAGATTCCAACAGCCAGGTAGTTCTGCAATTTATTCTGCTGAGATTCAGTAAAACAATTGCCGAGACTCAGCTAACAAATAACATTTTGCTGAGATATCAGCTAACAAACTGATATTGTGCAGAGATATCAGCAAAAGTAAATGCAGAGGTAATCGGCTGTTGGAGATTTTACCGAGCTAGATTAAGTGTGTACGTTAGTAGAAAACTTAAGGACTACTCAATAGACAAATAATATAGAAAAAATAATTTCTTTTCAGATTTTCAGGTGTATACATAGATTTCAGCTATTCTACCACTGTAGCAGCAACCAGATTTAAATAAAATCAGGCATAATATTTGATAACGGCACAAAAGCATTTGTAAACAAACTTTCTAAGGCCCTTTACACGCGAACCAAAGTACGCCCACGTGAACCAACAACATCATCGGATAGGAGCAACTATCACCTGTCCGGAAGTGGTATTGGTTTGCGTGGGTGTACTTTGGTTCGCGTGTAAAAGGCCTTAGAAAGTTTGTTTACAAATGCTTTTGTGCCGTTATCAAAGGTTATGCCTGAAATGCTCCATTTGCAAAATAAAAGCATTTTAATATTGCACTCGTATACTTCCCCGTGGAAAATTTTGAAACCGTCATCACTTTCATAGTTCTTCTATTCTTCACGAGTGCCAATTTTGATTTGTAAATACTAGTGCGATCTTAAATTGCATTTATTTTGCAATCAAATTATTTTAGTAAAATCTTTATTTTTTTTATAAAATAATTATTTCCCGACACTCAAGCAACATTGAAATTATTCAATAGTGTATACATTTTATTTATTTTTTCTTCTTTTTCTTCTTCAAGGGAATACACTTTTTAAATGCACCACCGATGTGCAGGGTGCCAGGCGAGATCGATAGAAAACGTCAACCAAACCGTTTGTTTCTGAATAAGGATTTTTGCATTGAACATCTTGCCAATTTTCATCGGTAATTGTCTTTTTTTTACGATTTTCCACAGATCTGAACTGATTTGTACCTAAACTATTCACACACAAGAACCCGCATAAATGCGAACCATTGCTTGACCTTACCGAAAAAGTTTAAAAATTGTTTATAATCCCTGCTTAACCTTAACTGACGTTTTTGTGATAAAATTTTAACCTTATGTAGGGGAAATGACTCTAATGGTAGCCTATGGCCCACGCACATAAGATCCGGATCGGACGCGTTGCGGCAAAGTGACAGCTAAATCTATTGTTTAACTGTCGAATTTACGTCAACGCAACGCAAACGGATCTAATGTGGGAGGCCCTTAAGATTGGGCTCATCGCTAAAAATCTGCTAATTATCAATTTTATCTAGATGAACGCGTGAGTGGGCTGGTACTAATGGATATTTTTGGTCGCTATTGAAAATTTAGTCGATTGCAAAATTTATGCATGGGCCCAAATTAGGGGAATTTAGGCCGACATTACGTCCATTTCCCCTATTATAGTTTTTTTGGAAGTGAACCTTGCAAATAATGGATTGTTAAGAACCATTAGCATTAAAAATTCTTGTTTTCTCTATACATTTTCGGAAAGAGAAGTATATAAGAACCACAGACAAACATACATAACACATTGAATATTTCTCACTGTAAAACATCGTCGCTAAAACATTATCTCCATCTGTTGAGTACACTCCCGCATAAACGCGAACCATAAATTGACCTTACCTAAAATGGTTAAAAATTGTTTATAATCCCTGCTAAACTTTAACTGAAATGGTTATGGAACTTTACATGAACGTTTAATGATAAAGTTTCAACCTTATGTATTATGGTTTTTTGGAACTGGACCTTACAAATAATGGGTTGTTAAGAACCATTACCATTCCAAATTCTTGTTTTCTCCATACATTTTCAGAAAGAGAACTATATAAGAACGTTTTACTTATGATTTGAGAACATTAATGGTAATGGTTATGGTAGTCAGTAAGGTCCACGAATGGTTTTGTAACATCGATCAACTTTATGTGGAATATATCGCGAATTGGTTGCCTGTAATTTACTGATTACCAATTCACGATATATTCCACGTAAAGTTGAGCGATAATACAAAACCATTAATGGACCTTACTGACTACCATAACCATTACCATTAATGTTCTCAAATCATGAGTAAAAACGTTCTTATATAGTTCTCTTTCTGAAAATGTATGGAGAAAACAAGAATTTGGAATGGTAATGGTTCTTAACAACCCATTATTTGTAAGGTCCAGTTCCAAAAAACCATAATACATAAGGTTGAAACTTTATCATTAAACGTTCATGTAAAGTTCCATAACCATTTCAGTTAAAGTTTAGCAGGGATTATAAACAATTTTTAACCATTTTAGGTAAGGTCAATTTATGGTTCGCGTTTATGCGGGCTGTGGTGGGCACTACGCTGAACAGATTTTTTTTTTTTTTCCTTTAGTTTGTTTTTTCCGTCGATCTTGTTTTCCGTGCTGAGCACCAATGCTACCGACACCAGAGAGGCAGCTCCCACACCTGGACCCTACCTATCGACCCATCAACTCATGAACCGGGGACCAACGGCTTTACTTCCCATCCGAAGGAAGGCGTGATCAGAGATGTTATGCCTCAGAACATCCCGGCGGCGCCGACTGGGATTGTACCCAGGCTTGCTGGGGTGAGAGGCCAACGCTGAACAGATGGCGGTAGTGTGTAAACGTCAAACGCAAGGGAATTGACTATGCGCACCATAGGTGGCGGTACTACCAACTACGATACTTTTAAATTGTTCGTTAAATGCTTGTTCGATGAACAACTTGCGAGTGTTATGTCTGTTTTCTCTGTGTAAGAACCTTTTTACTTATGGTTTGAGAATTTTAATGATAATGGTTATGGTTGTCCTCGTGGTAGTCAGTAACGAGGTCAGTGAGGTCCATGGATGGTTTTGTATTGTCGGTCAACTTTAGGTGGAATATATCGTTAATTGGTAATCATTAATTAACAGGCTACCAATTCACGATACATTCCACGTTAAGTTGACAGACAATACAAACCCATCCATGGACCTTACCGCACCGTCAATAAATGCCAAAAAATTATTACACATATCCCCCCAAACTAGACAAATAAGCGCGTTTTCACTTATTAAAAAGTGTGATAAAAGCGAGGATAAAAATGCACGTATATGTCAAATCGTTTTGTTTTCTTTTGTTATTCCTTATGGAGCAAGAAATAAGTGCTCCGAAGACAACAAAACGATTTGACGTAAACGAGCACTTTTATCACACTTTTTGCATTTTTTTAGCAGTCCAGTCAACCGGTGAACACTCGTGTTTATTTCAGTTACCGTGGGGACGTAATTTGTGATTAGCCCGGTCCCTTTCAAATTGTATCATTATTTATATACGGTCCTTATATTTGAAATGACGTTTCACATTCATCTAGTGATGGCCGATTTTCATTCGAATAATTGACGAACCGAAAAGTAAAATATTTGTAGTCGGTTATATCATGCCGATATAAGCATTAACATCGCCAGAGGATCATCACCGATCGTTTCAAACATGTGCTGCACTCTCATTTCTGGAAAAAATGGCAGCACAACGAACAAAAAATAATCGATTAGTTGTTAATCGAGTAGGGGAAAAGTTGGCTTCGGCAATACCTTAACCTATTATCGTCAGGGGGTAAACAAAGTCTTAGAGCACTCAAATTTGGTCAATAGTTGCTCTGAAACACAATGTATCTACATGCCAAAATTGAGCTCTCAAGAACGTTGTTTACCCCTGACGATAATAGGTTAAGGTATTGCCGAAGCCAACTTTTCCCCTAATTAAAAAATGGGACATCTCTGATTTTGGTGTGTTTGTTTTGATAAAAATGAGCGCAAAATATCATCTCTATCCGGGGGGTGGCAGCAAAACTACAAAATTACCTTGAATACGGAGGGTATTCATTGGATGTAAGGGACCGTGAAAGAGGGCACTAAAATAGAAAGTTTGTCTTCCGACAGTTTCATCTTAGTATTCATCTTTGGTCCAGTTTCAGTTGCAACTAGAAATACTCAGAGGGAGAGATAGGCGGAGAGAATGTTTTGAGCCAAATAAACTGTCAAAATCTGAGCCAATCGAACATTCCTATTAGAATTATTCGGAGGATTTCTAATTCGTACTAGATTAAATTTGAGAGTATTGCAATCGAACAGAAATTCAATCACCTTTATGTTTCGTGTGCTTCTCAAAGTCATCTAGTTATTTGAATCAAAACAATATTCTAACTCTATTGATTATGTGATCTTCTTCTTCTTCTGCGCATTTCAAGCTTATTGCATATCGCATATTAGCTTATTGTGTGCTCTCAACTTAGTGTTCTAGATGCACTTCCACAGTTATTAATTGAGAGCTTTCGATGCCTGTACCATTTTTGCATTGGTATAATTGTGTGGCAAGTCCAATCATACTTCTATGCCCAGGGAAGTCGAGACATTTTCCAGCCTGAAAAATTCCTAGACCGGCCCGGGAATCGAACCCAGCCACCTCCAGCATGGTGTTGCTTTGTAGCTGCGCCTTTACCGGCTGAGCTAAGGGAGGCCTCCATATTTGATCTTAGTTGGTCAACTAATAGCACAAAGAAATGTGCAAAATATTGCGATGCACTCAGTTATTATTTTGCACGTAAATCGAATCAAAAGTAAAAGTCATGTGTGCAAATCCCTGCTGCCGAATTGCATTTTGTTTTCTCCGCCCTTCTCTCCTTCTGAGTATTTCTAGTTGCAACAGGTTGCAACTAGAGTCGGTGTATAATGAGTCACGCCAAGAGTGAAGCCAAGTCTACCTATTGAACTGTCAAACCGGCTACCTATCGTGCAAAGAAAACAAACATTACGATGCTATGAAAGGTCCACGAAAGGTAATGCAATAAAATATAAAATATATTTGAAAAAATTATCATAATCACGCACTGAGCATAAAATTGTCATGGGATAAGTTTGGTAATGATCAGTAATGAGAATTTCTTCTATTTTTTGATAAGATAATTTGACAAAATTACTGATATAAGGATTTACTACAGCCGCTATTTTTTTTTCTCGCTAGAAGTCATTTGAAGTTGATGTAAAAGTCCTCTGTTGCCAAGTGAAAAGAAAGGGAATCTTTCGAAAACCGTGATCCCTAATAAACAAATACCATAAACGAACTGTATCCCGGATGGGTAAACTATCTCACAAATGGTCTGGATGATACCCCAAACACGTCGTTAAGCTCTCTTTTATGGTTATTTTTATTAGGGATGCGAGTTCAACTGAACACCGACTCTAGTTGCAACCAACAATATTTGTTTGAAAATTTATTTGAGTGTACGTGTACAAAATTAAAACAGCTTGTTTCCAGTGTGTATCGCTTATCCCGAAAAAGGCTAACATGGCGCACGTCGTCAATCTGCTTTGTAAACACATCACGGGCTCACGTATGTGCAGTTTAAAAGTTATAATAACAGATTGTGATAAAATTCTAGATTTTCTACATTTAATGATTTCTTTTCATGGTAGTTTAATGTTCGAGTTAGTTTAAAGTTGTCTCAGTGCGTTAATGATAAAACCAATGAATCCCTTTTCAGATCGTGTTGATAAATGACCATGCAAGATCCCATAACAAACGGCGACACACCAGCGTCGGCGCCCGTCCAGGACGCTCTGGAACCGGTGTTGGAAGCCGACCTGATTGATCACATTTGCCGTGATCCGAAGGTGTTCTACAAAAGCCAACAAATCAATGATCCCGAACTTACAACCGGCGAAAAGTTGCAAATCGTGAAACAGGTCCTGGAAAAAAGCCACACAACTTTCCTTGCTCGGTTTGGGAATTTTATCAAAGAGAATCACTTACGGTTCTTCGAGCAAGAGCAGCAAACAAGTTGCTACAGTCCGGACGAACGGTATGAAGTGGACTACTATTTGAGCAAGATTCGAAAATCTCACCACGGAGGTAGAGAGCAGGAAGTTCGCAATCGACGGTACGCCGCATTGAAACAGCTGGTCCACGAGGGCAATTATTTCAAAGAAACGGAAATGATGCAAAGGGAGCCCCTGTTGTATGACCAATTGGTGGGACAGTATTTGACTGAGCAGGAGAAGAAAGCGCGGGACGCTGCCGGAACGAAAAACGATAGCTTGGTAGCGATACTGTTCAACGGGATGGATAAGGAAAACACTGAGTCGTTGAAAAAAGAACAGGAGAGTGAGGAAAAGCAACAGGATGAACCAGATGAGGATGAGCACAGCTACAAGGAGAAGCCGCCGGATTCGCCTGGATTTTCCAGAGCTCAGTGGGGAAACTTTGACCTGGAAGAAGAGGAACGGCAGAAGAACGTGCAGCAGGAAAGGGAAGCCAAGCAACGGAATAAGAAATTTTCCATTCCAGTCAATTTGATGACTGCGGGCGAGCGAGATTTGCTACGGGACGAGTTCCTGGGGACTATGTATTCGAAATTTATTTCCGGCGAAGATGCTGAATTTGATTACTCCAAGGTTGACGAAAGCATGGAGTACGATAATTTGGACATTTTGGAACAGGATGAACAGGAGAGGTATTTCGATACGGAGGACTCGAGAGATGGCGTTTTGAGGAACGAGGACGACGACGGTGGCGAAATGCAGCAGGACGATAGTGAGGAGGATGATCTGGATGTCTATATGAGGCATTTAAATCAACATTTGGAAAATCAAAAAAACATGGACCATATGAACAACCAGATGAGGGATGTCAACTGTCAGTATGATAGTGATGAATAAAGTTGTGGGTTCTCAAATAGGTATATGAATGTTGTTTTTCAATAAATAGATGGCAAATACTCACTTCCGATAAAACACGTTTTTCGGAATTATGAGATCATGTTTTGAGCATATTTTGTAGTTACAAGAAGATGTTGCAAATTATGTGTTTGACACATAAAACCTGCCCATTTCGCTTCCTGATAGACGCAACCAGCGATTTTAACAGTTATCACTCCTCACTTCATAAAATCGCTGATTGTGACTCTTAGAAAACAAAATGAACAGGTTTTATTTGTCAAACACATAATTTGCAAACTCTTCTTATAACTTACAAGAAAAACATGTGATCAAAACATCTTTTAATTTAATGATTTCAAATCATATTTTTATGCAAAATGAGCATTTACAACCTTCCTATAAGGGAAATGTTCGGATTAAAGAATTATCCAATTCGAATTCATGGATTTGGTACCAGAAGAAAATCAGAATACAGATACTAGCTATAAATGTTAAATGTACTTACAGGTTAAGAATTGCTGTACATTCCACGGAATAACAGTAATTTCAGTTCAGGTCAAACTCATCGTAAACCCGTACGGATTTGCACCGTACTGGGAGGAGGAATCATCCAAGTCCAGCGGTTCCAACTTGACCTTCTTGGCCGAGTTGGGATCTTCCACTTGGTTTGCGTTGGGATTGCACATGGCCGTTAGATGGCGGTTCATGTGGGATACAATGTTTGCCAGCACCCAATGGCCGGTTCGATCCTGCGAAACACGCAGCTTCTTCTCCATTTGACACAGTGGACACGTGACGTGCCCGACCAAATTACCGTCCTCACCGATTTCGACTGCAACCTGCACCGCGCTCACCATGTTGCAGAATTCCACATTCGTCGGTGAGCCATCGCAGCTAGATGAAAGAGAAGATGTCAAAACATGAGTATTAAAATAGGGACATGATAAATACCGATTGAAGTAGAACGTATGGATTCGCTCGGCCAGCAAGCGAGCCTGTTCCTCGAGGGTGCCGCCGCCTGCTTCGGTGGCGGTGGGGGCCACTTCCTTCCGTCGGCGGTCTCTCATTCGAGACAATTCATCAAGCTTCATGTAACTACCGATGCCTTTCTGGCGAAGATAGACGCCCATCATTTTGATTTGCTGCGCCTCGCCGCTCAGGATGTGGAAGTTTTGCGGATTGCGGTAAAATTTACCGAAATACTTTTTCATTTGCTCCTCATCGCTAGCCGGAATGCGAAGGATTTGGGGAATTTCTGTAAGAATTAGGAACAGAGGATATCATCTGAACCATTCTATGCCTTAAATGGTACTGCCATTTGAGTTATTGTTGGTGGATAGTGGCCAAAATTCAGATAATTTGCATGGTTGTATGTAGTCTTGTAACGTTTTAATAAACTTATCCTGGAAATTTGAGATGGCGATAAACCTTTTGACTGAATATTTATCACAAGACAAGAAACTTGATTTAAGAATATAGGAAAATCTGCAAAATTGTTGCAACCAAATCAAAGAATCAAAAAGGCCAACATATTAATTGCATTGATGAACTAGTAAATTCATTGTATAAACAAATATGAAAAAAGTTACTTTTTTAAATCTAAAAAATAGACAAATTTGAATACATTGAACTATATTAACCCTAGGGAGCTAGAGAAGACATTAAATAGCTAGGACAGACAAAATGTTGATGTATTTATTGCGATTATTACATATACAAAAGATTGTAACCTTAGGGTGACGATCTTGCCCCGTTCTACCCTCTACCTTTTAATCTAAACTAGGGACAAGAAGGTCACCCGGGGTGAGAGTACCACCCTAAATATATTTTGAAAAAGAATACATTTTTAATGCTACCTCCCGATAAATCTATGGCATGGTATTCCTATGAAGTATTCTATTATATATATATTCAATATATATTATATACTACCTGTATATTCAATTAATTAATCATTTCAGTAACGTCATGATTATTTGAACTACCAAACATAAAGAAGCCATTCTGTCCAAAACCTCGAACATTTCTCATTTCCCCCGTCATACCCTATACTCACCTTTCGCTTCCCGCTCGATAATTTTCAACCTCTCATCATTGATCGCTTCTAGAGCGCAATTCGCGGAATAGCCGCAAAATTCCAATATGTTTATAATATGCTCCGGAATAAGTCCAACATCCCGTTGGATTAGCATCCAGAATCGTTCCTGTCGGAAACAAAATAGCAATACAACTTCAGCGCCATCTCGTCAATCAAAAACAAGATTCTTGCTCCGAAAGCAAAAAACACGCAACAATAACAAACATTCGGAGAGCTTTTTCACACTTAATCCGCTCCTACCTTCACCAGTTCCATCTCGAGCGAACGATTTTCCACCACCGACTGCTGTGGGGTTGCAATTTCGTTCGACTTTTCCGTACAAAATTTTCACTGGTAAAATTTCTGCTCCAAAATATATTCGCCATTAATCAAGTGTTTTGCTGTTTTTGACATCTAGCACGAGACTGAAACCTATACATGCCTATCTATCGTAACATTTTTTCATACAATCTGCAACACATTGACGGTGTTTGGCGGCACATTCTCAGGCATTGGAGAAATTTGGAAACGCTTGGAAAATGTTCGTTCCATATCTGAGCGTGAGCTTTTGGAGCAAGCGTTTGTCAATGCAAGCAGGGGGTGGTCTGGTGCGAGCTTTCGTGACGTACAGAGAGGTACCGTTGTTTGCGGATGGAATTTTTCTGGATTTCTTAATACCAAGTCGCAAGTCGAAACGGCAAAATTTTTTATACAAAAAACGCATCGTTTTGACTTGCACAACAAGGCCCTTGGTTTTTGGTAATATAGGTACACGGCGAATGAGAATGACCCAAATTTGAGTTTAGTTAACTTATAAGTCACATAAAGTGCAGGAACTCAACGATGAGTAAATTTGCCTTATGTATTTCCAGATTTGTCCAGGAAAAACTACCCGGATATGAGAAAAAAAAAAGATTGGATTCACTCAGTCTATATTAATACTACTCCTAGAATGAGTAAGGTTGTCGTCAACTTTTCTCATTTTCCGGCAGATTTTTGAGGTTTTCCACAGGAAACCAGAGACAAATTTACTTTTTGGCGATTATGAGTGAACTAAACTCAAATTTTTGGTCGTTCTATTCGGCCGTGTACCATTTATGGTCAGAATTCTTACTATCAAAGATCAGGCAGCTAGGAATTGGCAGCTGTACGAACGTTTCTCTGTGTAAGAGGTACCGTTGTTTGCGGATGGAGTTGTAGCTGGTATCCCCTTTTCCCAATTCCTAGCTGCCTGATCTTTCGTAGTAAGAAAACTGACCACAAATGGAACCTTTATTACCAAAAGCAGGTATCAAGAAATCCACACGGCGAATGAGAACGGCTCAAATTTGTGTTTAGTTCACTCATAATCGCCAGAAGTGCAGGAACTCAGCGATGAGTTAATTTGCCTCATGTATTCCCAATTTGAGAAAAGTAAAGATTGGATTCACTCAGTCTACTGGTACTACTCCGAGACTGAACAAAATTTTCGTCAAGTTCCTGCACTTTTGGCGATTATGAGTGAACTAAGCTCAAATTGGAGTCGTTCTCATTCGCCGTGTAGGAAAAAAAAATACCGGCTACAGCTACATCCGCAAACAACCCAACAAACAATTGAGAGCTCTTATAAAACACCTGAGTTGATCAAACGTTGAATAATAGCTTCCAGAGTTGAACAAGAATGTAGTTGTATTGCCATTTGATTAAAAGTTTTAAAAGCTGTTGGAGCACTCTTAAATGATTGTTTACGTTCGGTTTAACTATATGCTTTATAAGACCTACGATAACTTTTATAGCACCTTAGTTAAACTGATTCACAAGAGCTATACAGAACGTGAAATAAACGCATCAAAACAAACAATTGGGAGCTCTTATAAAACACCTGAGTTGATCAAACGTTGAATAATAGCTTCCAGAGTTGAACAAGAATGTAGTTGTATTGCCATTTGGTTAAAAGCTTCAAAAACTGCTTGGAGCACTCTTAAATGATTGTTTACGTTCGGTTAAACTGTTTGACAGGAGCCATATAGGATGTGGAATAAACGCATCAAAACAAACCATTGGGAGCTCTTTTACAACACCTGAGTTGATCAAACGTTGAATAATAGCTTCCAGAGTTGAACAAGAATGTAGTTGTATTGCCATTTGATTAAAATTTTTAAAAGCTGTTGGAGCACTCTTAAATGATTGTTTACGTTCGGTTTAACTATATGCTTTATAAGACCTACGATAACTTTTATAGCACCTTTGTTAAACTGATTGACAAGAGCTATATAGAACGCGAAATAAACGCATCAAAACAAACCATTGGGAGCTCTTATACAACACCTGAGTTGATCAAACGTTGAATAATAGCTTCCAGAGTTGAACAAGAATGTAGTTGTATTGCATTTTTGGTTAGAAGCTTCAAAAGCAGCTTGGAGCACTCTTAAATGATTGTTTACGTTCGGTTTAACTATATGCTTTATAAGACCTACGATAACTTTTATAGCACCTTTGTTAAACTGATTGACAAGAGCTATATAGAATGAGAAATAAACGCATCAAAACAAACCATTGGGAGCTCTTATACAACACCTGAGTTGATCAAACGTTGAATAATAGCTTCCAGAGTTGTACATGAATGTAGTTGTATTGCCATTTGGTTAAAAGCTTCAAAAACTGCTTGGAGCACTCTTAAATGATTGTTTACGTTCGGTTAAACTGTTTGACAGGAGCCATATAGGATGTGGAATAAACGCATCAAAACAAACCATTGGGAGCTCTTTTACAACACCTGAGTTGATCAAACGTTGAATAATAGCTTCCAGAGTTGAACAAGAATGTAGTTGTATTGCCATTTGATTAAAAGTTTTAAAAGCTGTTGGAGCACTCTTAAATGATTGTTTACGTTCGGTTTAACTATATGCTTTATAAGACCTACGATAACTTTTATAGCACCTTAGTTAAACTGATTCACAAGAGCTATACAGAACGTGGAATAAACGCATCAAAACAAACAATTGGGAGCTCTTATAAAACACCTGAGTTGATCAAACGTTGAATAATAGCTTCCAGAGTTGAACAAGAATGTAGTTGTATTGCCATTTGGTTAAAAGCTTCAAAAACTGCTTGGAGCACTCTTAAATGATTGTTTACGTTCGGTTAAACTGTTTGACAGGAGCCATATAGGATGTGGAATAAACGCATCAAAACAAACCATTGGGAGCTCTTTTACAACACCTGAGTTGATCAAACGTTGAATAATAGCTTCCAGAGTTGAACAAGAATGTAGTTGTATTGCCATTTGATTAAAATTTTTAAAAGCTGTTGGAGCACTCTTAAATGATTGTTTACGTTCGGTTTAACTATATGCTTTATAAGACCTACGATAACTTTTATAGCACCTTTGTTAAACTGATTGACAAGAGCTATATAGAACGCGAAATAAACGCATCAAAACAAACCATTGGGAGCTCTTATACAACACCTGAGTTGATCAAACGTTGAATAATAGCTTCCAGAGTTGAACAAGAATGTAGTTGTATTGCATTTTTGGTTAGAAGCTTCAAAAGCAGCTTGGAGCACTCTTAAATGATTGTTTACGTTCGGTTTAACTATATGCTTTATAAGACCTACGATAACTTTTATAGCACCTTTGTTAAACTGATTGACAAGAGCTATATAGAATGAGAAATAAACGCATCAAAACAAACCATTGGGAGCTCTTATACAACACCTGAGTTGATCAAACGTTGAATAATAGCTTCCAGAGTTGTACATGAATGTAGTTGTATTGCCATTTGGTTAAAAGCTTCAAAAACTGCTTGGAGCACTCTTAAATGATTGTTTACGTTCGGTTAAACTGTTTGACAGGAGCCATATAGGATGTGGAATAAACGCATCAAAACAAACCATTGGGAGCTCTTTTACAACACCTGAGTTGATCAAACGTTGAATAATAGCTTCCAGAGTTGAACAAGAATGTAGTTGTATTGCCATTTGATTAAAATTTTTAAAAGCTGTTGGAGCACTCTTAAATGATTGTTAACGTTCGGTTTAACTATATGCTTTATAAGACCTACGATAACTTTTATAGCACCTTTGTTAAACTGATTGACAAGAGCTATATAGAACGCGAAATAAACGCATCAAAACAAACCATTGGGAGCTCTTATAAAACACCTGAGTTGATCAAACGTTGAATAATAGCTACCAGAGTTGAACAAGAATGTAGTTGTATTGCATTTTTGGTTAGAAGCTTCAAAAGCAGCTTGGAGCACTCTTAAATGATTGTTTACGTTCGGTTTAACTATATGCTTTATAAGACCTACGATAACTTTTATAGCACCTTTGTTAAACTGATTGACAAGAGCTATATAGAATGAGAAATAAACGCATCAAAACAAACCATTGGGAGCTCTTATACAACACCTGAGTTGATCAAACGTTGAATAATAGCTTCCAGAGTTGTACATGAATGTAGTTGTATTGCCATTTGGTTAAAAGCTTCAAAAACTGCTTGGAGCACTCTTAAATGATTGTTTACGTTCGGTTAAACTGTTTGACAGGAGCCATATAGGATGTGGAATAAACGCATCAAAACAAACCATTGGGAGCTCTTTTACAACACCTGAGTTGATCAAACGTTGAATAATAGCTTCCAGAGTTGAACAAGAATGTAGTTGTATTGCATTTTTGGTTAGAAGCTTCAAAAGCTGCTTGGAGCACTCTTAAATGATTGTTTACGTTCGACCAAACACAATTTTGTTGCTAAAAATAGCACAAGTGATAGGCATGTTTATATAACCATAAGGCAATGATTATTCGACTGCAAGAGAAGTCACTCAAGATGAGCTTGATATACTTCTCTCATATGATCAAAATATGTATTCAAGAATAGAGCAGATGGAAACAGAAGCGGCTGGCAATCCGGGATCATGAGTTCGAATCTTGCTTCGAGAAACCTTTGGTGGAGTAGAGGTAAATTATATATAGGTGTTATTAATAAATGCAAACATTAATTTAAGACATATATCATATAATCAACGATAACATTTCTAGATAAATTCTCTCAATTAATGATTAGAGAGATTAATTGAAAGAATATCAATCAAAGATTAAACAGATGCTTGTTACTACTTCCTCCATGATCACAGAATGTGAATTATGGCATCATTACATATTTTTTCAATGTGCACAAATAAATTAAATTAATAAAAACTGTACAAGCAATTATTTTGGCGCACCACGACAATTGTTAAACTAATTTTAATCTGTGAATATTGTGAGTACTTACACAACGGTTATTAAGGAGTCATTAAAAAGTGCTATAAACGCTTTTCACCGCTTGCTGTATAGTGATTATTTAGGAGTCATAAAAGAGTGTAACAAACGCCTCTCAGGTTCAATCTCTAATA